CATGCGAGGAGACGGGAGGACACTCTCAAATCCATCTCCCCAAAAATTTGGGAGAAAGGGTTTTTAAAGACAGTTCGGCGGGGAAAAGGCTAGGCAATTGGGCCTGCTAATTGGCTGGACTCACGGTGGAACCATAGGGGTGTAGAATGGTATTCTTTGCTGAGTCGGCTCTTGGGTGGTGTGGCAAGACCAGTTGAGTCAGTTCCTCAGTGTAGGCCACTGGTCTGGGTGGGCCAGCTGTTGCATCAGAATGCAGGGCCTGGAAGATATCTGAGAAACTAGCCTTAGGTTTCACAAGGGTGATGTTGTCTATGCAGAAAGTTAAGAATCTTTATGATCAACTGCCATGTGACTCCACAGTGGCAATTATAGAGGATGAAACAAGGGGACAGTAGCTGGTTATGATTAATGTTTTTAGCTGGGCTTGCGCCTTTGCAGTTTTAGGCCTTTCCCACAGTTCTTGTCTTGCACCCCTTTGTTGATTTGTGAAGGGCAGTTTCACTATTACCTGTTACTATCTTTATGTGGAAATTAAGTGTGGCTTAAGGAGATGCATGTGAGTGCCAAGTTGACAAGGGCTAGATTTGTGGACTTAATTTTAGGTATTGTAAAGGCCAGGGGAAAACTTCCCCTTCGCCCCCCACCCCACCTGCCCGAAGGTTCACTGAAAATCACAGACAAGAGGAAGGTTAATAGAAGAAGAGACACACAAAATTTATCTGATCATAGTTTTATGTGACTTGGGAGCCTTCAGAATGAAGACCCAAAATACAGGGGAAATAGTCCATTTTTGCGCTTAGATTCCACAAAGAATTGTCAGCCATGTAGAAATAGGATTGGACAAAAAGGGTGTGGTCTAATGCTAACAGACTGAGTGGGACACCCCCGAGGCCTGTCTAGATTCTTCCAGGCCTCTCTGAGCAGCATTCTTTCCTTCTGGGGGTAGGGCAGGGCCCTCTTTGGAATGGGGGTCTTACCACCTACAGTTGAACAAGGTAGGTCAGTTAATTTCTTTATGACCAGTTTTCCCAGAAAGATGGGGAGGGGTGCAAAGTTAGAGGAATATTTTTATGTTTTGTGGCTGGCTTTGGGGAAAAGAGGTTCTGGTTTCTATGACCTGCCTCAGGGAAGAAGGATTCTAGTTCCTGTGGCCAGCCTGGAGGTGGAGGGGACTGAGAGACAAGAGGGCAGGAGAAGGTCGGAGAAAAACTTTGGCTTCTGAGGCCTTCATTTTAGGGTATTGCTTTGTCAGTCACAACAGTGTCAATTTGACTGGATTAAGGATGTGAAAAGAAAATGGCAGCCTCGGGCACCATGAAGAGCAGGCCCCACAGGTCATTCCTTAAGGAAACTCCCTGCTGACCTCCCACAAGCAAGGAAATGCAAATTGTACCTTTGTCTGGCACCTAAAACAAAAGCCTGTTTGATTCCACACTAAGAGTGAATTACAAGTTGATCTTGCAGGCAACAGAACAGGAGACAAGACAGAGTCAGACATTCTTCCACCTGCCCAGAGACATCTGCATAACTGATGCTTCCTCGCTCCCCTAATTTACGTAAAATGTGGATTTCTTGGGCCTTACAGGAATGTAACCACCACCTCATCAGCCCTTCTCCCCCTGCCCTTTCCTTCTCTCTGCTGCCTTTACAATGCTGAAGGTCCCCGCCTCCCCGCCAGGAAAAACAGCCACTGCTTGTCTGCAGTTCACGTTTTCCCCCAGTGCGTCCTCAAGATCTTGGCTTAGTTAACCTCCGCTGATTGAGATTTTTGCCTCGGTCATTTATTTGGGTTGACAAGGATACCTAGAAACCTGGCAAAGCACTATATTGGGTGTGTCGTGAGGGTGTTTCTGGAGGAGGTTAGCGTGTGAGTCTGAGTGGATGAGGTGGGGACGAGGTGGGGACAATCTGCCCTCAGTGCTGGCAGACACCATCCAATTGGCTGAGACCAGGAAAGAACAAGCACAGAAGGCGATTGGCTTCCCTCTGAGAGCTGGGACAGACTTTTGTCCTGCTGCCTTGGACATCAGATCTCCAGGTGCGCTGGCCCTTGGACTCCAGGACTCGCCCCAGCAGCCCCCAGGCCCTGAGGCCTTCGTCTTGAGCCACGCTTCCAGCATCCCAGGGGCAGCAGCTTGGATATGGCCTGTCATGGGGTTTCTCAGCCATGATAACCGTGTGAGCTGATTCCACTAATAGATTCCCTCTCCTATGTCTGTATACATGAGCTGTGGGTTCTGTTACCCTGGGAAACGCCAACACAGACTTGGTATGGGGAGAGCCAGATTTCATTCCTTCTTACTGTGTTCCTTACAACACGATGGAGGAGAACTGTGAAATTGTTCCCGCACAAAAACGCTGTGATAAGTTAAGTGTGAGGCTACTTAACGGTGAAAGATAAAAGTTTAAAAGCTAACTGTGATTGGGTGCTACAAAAGCAGAAAGTTGCTTAATGAGACAGCCAGACTTTCACATGAATAGCACATACTTGAAGACTGGTAAACCACAGCCTCTCTCCAAATACAAGTGCGGCAAGTGTTTCCGAGACAGTAGAAGTGAGAATGCAGATGAAAAATACAAGAAATCTCCCTGCCACGTTAGCCACTCATGTGTGTCTTCCCCCTTCTTACACAGCACCACGCTCGCCTTCACGACGCCCTTCCTCAGAGGCTAGATCCCACAAGTCAGTGACCTTTCGAACCAAGGGCACAGGCTGATACCGGGGTTCCTCTGGGCTTACCAAACATGTCGCAGGCGAACTATTCTTGATTAGGGATTTGACTGCCTAAGAAGATAGAAGAAGGTTCAGGATCGTGTCCTCTGGGATTATGATTGGCTCCCAGTCTGTGGGGAAGCCAGTACGGCAGCCACCTGGGCCTGGAGGGTACAGGTTGATACTTTTAATAATCCAGTGGCTGGGGTTCTAAGGCCTAAAGGGTGTGAGACTTAGGGTATAAGCAAGGTTAGAAATTGAAACTGAAAGCTCCACATGAAGCCAAGACTTTAAAGACTACAACTTCCATAAAAATGTGGTCCAGAAATATTCTATCCAACAGCATAGGGAGTTGAGAAGGAAGCTTAGCTCTTTAAATGTGGGAATGAAGGAGGAAAAATATTCCCTCCTAAGAATCGCGATGAACGCCCTCACATTGGCTTATGATTTCTATTACCCACTCTCTACAGGAACCCTAAGCCTAGTGGTTAATATAAAATGTGGCCCTGGGCAAGTCATAACCCTTGCACAGAAATGCTTGGGAGGAACAGACATAGCCCCAAGCCGGGCCCCGTCTGCATAGACATTCCCAGATTTCAGGGATTTTGAAGACAATAGCATTTCTATGTTTCAAGAAGGGAGAAGGCATAAGGCATAGGACCAGTGGATGACAGACTATCAAAACAACCGGGGACTTTTAAAAGGGTCACATGAAACAGAGCCAAGAGGCACAGAGAATTCCAGGCAAGGTAAATAACCAGGACCTCTTACACGGCATCCAGAGGGGTCAGAGAGGGCAGCAGAGTGACGGAGCGCCAACTTTTCAACACCAGCAATGGAGGCCGGTGAACCACGGATGTGCAATGGGTCCAAAGTGAAAGAAACTTATTGCCCGTGTTCACTCTAAAGTGAGCATTCTTAACCAACAGGTCACTCTCCTTCAACCAGGGATGTCAACACGTGGTGCCCAGGGCCGCTGGGCCAAGGTGGGAGAGAAAAGAACAGGCTGCCTGTGGGTGGCCCTGGGGGCCGGAACAGAGGAGGCACCTGCGGCCCATGCCCCATTTCTGCCGGCTGGAGCCCTGCACGTGTGGGCACAAACTGCAAGGCAGGCTGGGAGGTACAGCCTATCTATGTGCCTGGGAAGAAGAGGACATGTGTTTGACCACCTGGTGGCCAGTCAGGGCCAGCAAAGGTGCAGAGGTGGGGAGATGCCCTTAGTTCCTACGCAGACGGCGCCCTCGGGGGCAGCTCAGAGAGTCCTGTCTCCCCCCTGCAGGAAGGTTTCTGGCCCACTTCTTATTTGGTTTTTCCTCTGCTGGTTTGTTTCCCGAGGTTTATTACAGTGGAACGTGAGCTCGGGGAGGCCGAGAACTACTGCCTGCTTTGAGCGCAGCTGAACCTTCCTCCTTGTCCTCACAACAGTTCCCGAGGCGCAAGCACCTCTGCTCTGCCGTCCCAAGCAGGCTGGGCAGCAGAGACAGACCACGCCTCCCTCCATGTCCCCACACAGCCGACCTCCCTGTCTCTCCCAACACAAGGCACCATCACCGATCCAGGTCTTTGTCAGTCCTTGGCTTCTTATTTCAACAGTTTACTTACTCCATATAAATTAAGTTTTTGGTTATTTTTTAAACGTTATGCAAAATGTAGCATGGTATACGTCATCTTCTGACATTCGCTCTTTTCCATTCTCACTTCTACAATTAGTCTGTATGTTGGGGGTCACCCTTATTCCGTGTACCTGTGATAATTCATTTCCATCCCTGTGAAAATTCAAATGTGTGAATATGCTACATTGTAAAAGACATTCTTCTGATCACAGACATTTTGGCTGTTGTTTCTTCCACTTTTCTCTTCCTGTTGCACACACCACTGTCATCAACACATGTCCCCAGGGATGGACTCCCGACATGAAAGAGTATGTTAGTAGCCACTGCTTGGAGGAGGGCTGCTGCTTTCTAAAGTAGTCCTACCAACGTACAGTGCTCCCGGCTGTGATCAGGACACCGGGCTGCAGTCGGCACGGAGGCTGACAGGGACAGCGGCTTCTGCCCCGGGCTGCTGGAAGTCAGCCTTGAGGGAGGTGATTGGCTCAGGGCTGATGTGTGGGCTGCCTCCCGGAGCCCAGGGAAAGGAACCAGAGACATGTTCAAAATGTTGTGGGTGCAAGCATAGTCACAGGTGGGGTCATAAAGGACCAGAATGACCAGGACCCACAGACTGGGGGAGGTAGACGGTTCTGCTGCAAGCAGGCGGGGTGGCTCAGCTTGTTCACAGGGAGGGAATGGTCTGCCCCTCAGCTAGTGGTCCCATCTCTTCCACCGTGGCCCTTGAGGACAACCACCACGTTCCCGGACAGCTTGCTCTGGCCTTGCTCTTCATGCCTCAGGCCTGCTCTCCGCAGCTCTGGTACAACCACACCCAGCGGAGGCTGAGCCTGAGGGTGGGGCAGCTTTGCAGACCCGAGTGCCCTCCACCTGCCCCCTCTGCTCCCTCTGGGGATGGGCTGGGACCTCACCCTGCCACTCTGAGCTAGAGGAAAGGTCCCAGCTCTGCCTTGTCAGCCTGTCTCCTCCCCAGGAGACACGTTCCAGGGAGGGCCAGCCAGAGCTGTGGGCCAGGAGAGGGGCACGGTGGTGAGGTGCGCAGCAGGGGCCCTGGGAGCCACCTTATCACCTCACGGGCACAGTAACGTGACAGAGCATTGGGAGAAGTGATTTCTGGGACCTGCTTCAGGGTTTCCAGGTCACGGGATCTGGGAAGCCAGAGGGTTCAGAGCAAGTCCCGGGTGACTTGTGCCGGTGCCTCCATGTCTTAGCTGTGCTCCACAGTTCCCTCGGGGCAAGCCGGCCTGTGGCCCCAGCCTCCTTGCAGGTAGGTTGAGTAGGGATGTGAAACCTGGCACATGGCTCAGAACTCCCCAGAACAGACCAGGACCAACTGAGAGGGTGCGGCGGGGGGCGGAGTGGGTGTCCTGCGAGCCTGGCTGATTGCACCATCACCCAAGGACACAGCGGAAAGCCAGCCAGAATTGTCCGGCCAAGGACAGCTCTGACTCCATTTTGGGCACAGGCACACAGGAGACACGTCGTACATCACCAGTGGCTGAAGGGCCAAGGCATCCTGACGCAGCTGGAGCTTCCTGAAGGAGGGTGGGGAGTGGGAAAGTGATCAAAGTAAAATACAAAACAACCAGCAGATTGCAGCCCTCCCCTGCTACAGCCCGCATAGCACCCTCCCTCTGGCCTGCACCCACCCTTCCAGACCAGCCCTCCGTCGCCTTGCTGCCCACTCCTGCCAGGGACTGCCCCGTCCCCTCAGTGTGGAAGCCCCTTCCCTTCCAGCTGCACAGGGGGCAGCCTCCTCCGTCCCCTGCAGGTCCAGCGGAGAGTCCCCTCCCCAGCTCCTTCTCCACGCAGCCCGGAGGCTCCCTCATGGCCCTTCCCCTCCAGGTGTGAGGAGCTCACGTGGGGCTGAAAGAACACAGCAAGCGTGGAGGCACAGTAAAAACACACCTCAAGGCCAACCTCCCATGACCACAGCCAAAGCCTAGGTCATCCGATTTCCCCACAACACTGGCTCTACTCATCAACAAAAGGCAAAATGTCAGTTTTTGATGTCCTTGTCAGCCGAGTCACTTGAAATGAAGCCGATCAGCTGCACATCAGGCAGCTCGAACTGCTCTGCTTGCCCTACGAAGAATCTGCGGTGAGACAGCCAGTGACAAAATGATCAGTACCCCTCCCTGAAGCTTTCTAAGTTGTGACTGTGGTAAGGTGGCATCTTCCCAGGGGGCTGGACCTCTCCAGACAGCGACCTGTCCTTTCTCTTATTGCACGACAATGAACACTTGCATTTTCCCTAACTTGATCTCGTTGGCTATTTGACCTGCGAGATGACTGGATTTGCACACACACTGTGATGCTTGTGAGTAGCCATGAGAGGGGACTCTGCCGTCCTGTGTAGTTTGTGGCTCCCCCGTCCAGCCCACGATCACCCCCTGCTGTCTGTCACCACTTACCTTTGGCTGAGCATGTCTGTGTAGGGCTCTGCCTGCATTAGCATTTCCAGGGCCCATCCCCAGGGCATCAGGAGCCCTGCTGGCCTCCCAAGGCAGGTGCCTGCCCCAAGTAGATGTGGAGTAAGCATCTTTCGAAGGGGAGGCCGAAAGGCAGTGCCAGGTGAGACAGCCTGTTCCCCCAAGGGACAGCCCTGGCCATGTGTCTGCCAGAGAGAGTTCGCAGGACAGCGGGGCCCTAACAGCTCCCCCCAACTCAGACTCTATGGCCTCTCATTGTTCTGAGCTATGAATCTCAGTCATGGGCCAGGTGCTGTAGGATGAAAAGGGGGACGTGAGCGGTGGGCACAGCCCCCTGCACAGGCAAGGATGGACCAGGGCAAGAGGACTCTCACCTCTCAGCCCGAGCTGGCTCCCAGCACCCCCAGGCCCTCCAGGCCAATGTCTCCTGACTGTGGCCTGTTGCTTAGCTGGACCAGCAAGGCCGGCCAAGACCGGGCCTGGGACACTCAGGGAACCTCAAAGCCAGCCAAGACCAGGCCTGGGACACGCCGTGAACCTCCCCCCGCCACATTGTACCCCTGCACCTCACTGAATTGCCCCCAGGGCTGAGCCCCTCATGGTGATGGACCCTGCTTCATGCCTCCACTGCAGGCACCCTGCATAAGGCCCGGAAAACAGCACACGGCACCATGAGTGGGTTAATTCAATGAACGCAAACCCCTCTTCCCTTGCTCCTGTCCTGGATCTTGCAAGGAGATGAATAATCCAAAGTCCAACTTTTGGTGTCCAATCCAGCTTGTAAGGCATTCGGAAATTGTTACTTCATAGTAACAACAAATAAAAAGCAAAAATGAAAAAAAAGAAAGAAAAATACCCTTAAATCCACAACTCTTCTTAGATGTAGGAGAGGTGAGGCCACAGAGCGAACTGCTGTCCCCAAAATTGCAGAGACAGTCTGGTGAATACAGAGAACCACAGCTTACCAGGCAGAAGCATCCGCAAGGAGTGCCAGGAAAGGAAAAACTGATCAGTGACAGAACATTCCAGAGGCTCAGTGTGAAGAGTCTGGGACTTAAACGCTCCAGGAAACCAAGTCATGGGGGTCCCTGCTTTTGTGAGTTTTACCCCCAGTAGCTCTACTAGGTTATCACGGTGAATATCAGAGAAAAATCCCCTCCTACTTCACGTGGTCAGAGAAGATAAATAATCATTTTGAAATAGGCCAGAATGTTCTATCTTCTTAACGAGGCCTGCCCTCAGGAGAAACTGTTTCACCAGATCCTAACATTCTGGGGTTTCATCAGAGCTGAACCTTCCTGGCAGAAGGGAAAGCATGACCCCAGCCCCTCTAGCCTGCCACACGTGGGAAGGGAAGTAGATGACCCCAGACCCCACCAGTCATCCTGTCCCCACTAAGTGGGGGAAATAGAAGAGCAGTCGTGGTGTTCACAGTGTAGGGCACGGGTCACTGAGAGCTCAGACCTAACTACGAGACTTCAGGACGCGCCCACCACCCCATCTTATCATCACATCACTGAAGACCTATCTGCTGCAGTTCCTTTTACCCAGTGTATTGTGTCTGGCTTTCAACAAAAAGTGACAAGGCACACTAAGATGAAACACGTGGTCAGAAGAGATAGCGCAAGCACGAGAACCAGACTGAGATGTGGCAGGGAGCTGGCATTGTCAGCTGGGGACTTTAAACAACTCTCATTAATATGCTGTGGGCTCCCTGTGGAAACAGTGGGCGCAAGAACAGATGGGCCATGTCCCAGTGAGAGGGAAACCCTGATCACACGCGAACGCTGTGACCGAGGTGAGGATGGCCTTTGATGGGCTTGTTAGTAGACGAACACAGCTGAGGAAAGGATGTCTGAGCTTCAGGACTTATCAAGAGAAACTTTGAAAACTGAAAAGCAAAGAGAAAAGAGACTGAAGAAAATGAAACAGAATATCCAAGAACTGGGAAACAACTGCAAATGGAGTCACATACACATAGTGGGGACATGGCAAGGAGAAGAGAGACAGAAAGGAGCAGAAGAAATATCCATATCAATAAGAATTAATATCAGACACCAAACCAAAGATTCCGGAAGCTCAGAGAACACCAAACAAGATACATACAACAAAACAATACATAACAAAACCCTATACCTAAGCACATCACATTCAAACTCCAGAAAATCGAAGATAAAGAAAAAAAATCAGAGAAAAAAATTAAAGGGAAAAACCATGTTACCTGTACAGAAGCAGAGGTAAGAATTACATCTGATTCCTCCTCAAAGTCTGCACGAGCAAGAAGAGACTGGAGTGAAACATTTAAAGTGTTAAAAGAAAAAAAAAAAAAACCCACCAACCTAGAATCCTGTATCCCATGAAAAACACTGTCAAGAGAATAAGCTGCAGAGTGGGAGAAAATATTTGGAAAAGATATATCTGATAAAGGACTGATAGGAAAAAATATCCAAAGAACTCTTAAAACTCAACAGTAAAAAATGAACGTTTGATTAAAAAATGGGCAAAATATCTAAATGGACATCTCAGTGAAGATGACATACAGATGGCAAATGATGCTCAATATCATATGTCTTTAGAAAATTACAAATTAACACAACAATGAGATATAATTACAAACCTATTAGAGTGGAAAACATGCAAAAAACGGAGGACAACAAATGCTGGCAAAGATACAGAGCAAGGGGATTCTCATTCATTGCTGGTGTGAATTCAAAATGGTATTGCGGGGAACGTGGCCAGTGTTCCCTGCAAAAAACCGGGTCCCTTTGGTAGAGTTGCAAGGGATAAGAAAATAATAGAAAGAAATGGAAAATGGAAGAAATAAAAGAATACACTGAGGCAAAGATACAGTTTTATAAGTTTA